ACAATATATAAAGAAAGAGAGAGAGAGAAAGCAAAACCCCATGGTTAGCTCATTAGATGTAGAAAGGCTCTGGACGGAAATTTGTTTTATCCTGATACCAAGTAATACAAGGGTGCCTCCCCCAAATGGTCTACTGAAATGAATGATAAACAGGAAAAGGGTGATTTCTTCATTGCTATTATTGAATAGTGTTCTGAAAGCTCTATCCAATGAAAGAAAACAAGAGAAGAGAAATAAGGTATGAATATTAGAAAACCTTCCAAGTGATTAGTATTTAGAGATGACTATAAAATTCTAAAACTCCCAAAACCCCAAGCAAGCAAAAACAAAGTACTATGAGAATTAAGTCATATAAGACAAATACAAATGACTTTCTTTTAAAACGGCAATAAATAGTCCAAAAGATGAGGAAAAATATCTGTCTCATTAACAACAAAATATATATTCTTCTACTCAAATAATGCAAGAGTAGTACTAGAACAAGTAACTCTTAATTAAATAAAATTAGAGTACTATAACTTTTAAAGTCATAAAAAGTATAAAAGCATAAAAGCAACAGAAAAAAAAAAACGAAGAATTTTTTTGAGAGAGAGATTTTTTTCCCCTGCTATAGGGCACGTGTACTCGCCAGAGAGACAGAAAGTGAGAAATCACCCCCTGGGGGGATGGCCACCACTGTATCCGAGACCTGACCCATAGTCAGTGACGTGGGAGTCCAGTGATATAACCATTACAGCATCTGCTAGTCCCAAAAGATGGATATTTTTATAATCTTAAGCTCTTGGAGGTTTTCTTTTTTAAAAATTAGTTTATTAATTAATTAAATTGTAAGAAACAGAGATTGATAGTGATATTCAAGCCATGTCTGGGATTTGAACTACAGTCAGTCACATGGGAATCTAGTGCCTTAACCACTATGCCACCTGCTTGCCCCTTTTGGAGGTTTTGAAAAATTTTAACAAGAAAGACAGTAACTGTGAAGAAGAAGATGGCCAGATTTGACTACATGAAAACTTAGTAGTTCCGCTAGCAGGTGGTATGCTGGTTGAGGTGCTGGACTCCCACATGGCCAACTGCGGTCTGAGTTCCCAAAATCGCGCCTTGCTTTCTTTCTTTTTCTCTCTGGAGAGCACATAGCAAATTTAAAAATAACAATAATTATAAATAAAATTAAATAATTATTTTTTAAAAAGAGTGGATTTGGGAGCTAACTTAAAAAAAAAAAACTTAGGGAACCAGCAGTTAGCGTAATGGCTATGTCACTGGATTCCCACATAGTCGACCGCAGTTTGTGTCCCGGACCCAGTGGCTTAGAGCTCACGCCGGGCGCGTGTGCATGCGTGCCCAAGATCCCAAGAGGAGAATGAAGGAGAAGGGATTGCGGCGTGACCATACCCCCTGGGGGGTGATTTCTTGCTTTCTGTCTCTATGTCTCTGTCTGTCTGGAGAGCGCACGTACCCTATAGCGAAAACTTCTCAAAAAAAAAAAAGAAAGAAAACTTACATGCTGGGACTAGCAGGTGGCATGGTTGTTAAGGGCACTGGACTCCCACATGGCTGACTACGGTTTGAGTAGTCATTTTCTCTCTCTCTGTCTCGTCAAATTAAAATAAATAAATAAATATGTAAAATAATTCTTTTAAAAAACATATACTATATTACAAAATATATGTAAAGACAAAAGAAAAATGACAAATGGAGGAAAGTATTAGTAACATATATGATAAAGCAATAATACACTTAACATACAATCAATGCTTATGAAACCATTACAAAAAGATGAATTCTCAATAAGATTTAAAAAAAGGAATTTCAATAGGCAATTCACTAAAGAGCAATAAAAAATGGACAAATAAAGATGTTCAACATCTTAGTAATCAAAAAATAATAATACATTTTACTACATTTCATATTAACAACGATAAAAAGGAAGAATTCCTAGTACTCCTGAGATTATGAGTAAAAGACACAACTTCTCTGAAGGGAAATTTTTGTAAAACATAGCACAAGTGTGGACAAGATGCATAGTGTCTGGACACCAAAATTCCAGTTCTAGATTATCTTAAGAAAATACACAAGAACACAAATTTTATCTATTAAAAAGAAAAGGAGGCTGGCTCCATGGTACAGGGGTAATGTGCTGTTCCAAGAGAAGCCAGAGTCCACATGGTGACTGAAGTTTAAACTCCATGCCTGGTCAACCTGAAGCATACCAGGTGTGCACCCAAGTGCCCAAGGTCCCACAGGCTGGAGGGCTGGAGAAGGGAATTCACAGCATGACCAGTCGCTATGGGGTTTTTGTCTGTCTGTCTGTCTGTCTCATGTGTACATGTACTCCACCATGAAAAAAGAAAAAAAAAATTTAGCTACAAGGATATTCATCACTATAGCATTATAAGGAAAAATTAGAAAATGAAATATTTAAAACAGAGGACTGGATAACTACATGGTAACATTTCATATCATGTACTATATCATAATCATTAAAATCACATTACTAGGAAGAGATTTTGCCTATCAATGACATGCTGATGTCAATCACAATTTTTATTTGAAAAAAAAACTATATATATTTTAAACATTTATGTAAGTATATATAAATATACATATTTTCTCCTCTATAGAAAAGAAGTCTAAGAGGATAAAAATGTTAACCAGTTAACCTCTGGATCATTTGATTTTAAGAGTACTAGTTATCTGTGGCTTAAACAAAAAACATTATCTCCGTTTCTACAGGGCCATAACTTGCGAAGAATCTTAGCTGGTGGTTCTGCCTCAGGATTTCTCATGAAGTTTCAGGCAAGATGTTGGCTGAGACTACAGTTATCTGAAGGGCCCATATGGAAGACTTATCCATGTACCTGCCAGGAGGCCTTAGTTCCTCACTGTGTGGGCCTTCTGACAGGGTTCCTCCATGACAGGGCAGGGGGCTTCCCCCAGAGCAAGACAGAGCTGCAATGTCTTTTAAGACCTACCCTGGAAAGTTACACTATGACTGTTTCTACTCATTAGAAACAAGTCACTAAGTCCAGCTCTCACTGAAGGGCTGGAGAATTAAGCACAATTTCTTGGAGGAGGATAAAACAATTTGTGGACATAACTTAAAATCCCAATGTGGGGGGCAACAGTCAGCAGGTGGCATGGTAGCTAAGGTGCTAGACTCCTACATGGCCAACCGTGGTTCGAGTCCTTAACCTGGCAGCTTGTTTTCTCTGTTTCTCTCTCTCTGGAGAGTGCATGTGCCCTATATCACACTTAAAAAATAATAATGAGTGCTCACTTCGGCAGCACATATACTAAAATTGGAACGATACAGAGAAGATTAGCATGGCCCTTGCACAAGGATGACACGCAAATTCGTGAAGCGTTCCATATTTTTGAATATAATTCTGCATGAGGACTCACTGAATCCAAACCTGTGTCATGCCTGTGTGCATACTCAATTAAACACTGGAAATAAAAATTGTTTGGGTGAACATTGAAAAAAAAAAAATAATGATAAATAAAATTAATAATTGTTAAAAAAAAGAAATATCAATAGGTGACCTGTGTATATATTCAGAAAAATATAATTATTTTAAAATGAAAAGTGAATTTCACAAATATACCTGCAATACATGCATATAGACATATGAAGAGACAACTTAAAAAGCAAAAATCATCAATAAATATGATGTGCCTGCCACAAGAGGTAATACAATTGAGTTGGAATTACAGAAAAATGGCACCCAGAGCAAGTTCTATGATACTCTGTACCACTTGAATTATTTTATACACAGAATGTCCTGCTTGGCTCTGAGTATCTCTTAGTAAATTCAAAGTGGAAAACAAACTAGAGTCCATCATTTAAACAAAGTTACTTCCTAACGAAGAATAGTCTGGAGGAAAATTGAAGTATTTGGCTTGGGAGAGAGAAGACTTCAGAGGAAGAGCAAGGAAATCAGTGCCTTCAACTACCAGGGTGCTGCATGGAAAAGGTGGAAGACTCGAGAGGCAGACCTTGAACCAGTGAGTCAGTCACAGTGCAACGGGGCGCAGTATAAAGAACTGGCTAACAGCTACCGCTGTTAAAAACCAGACGAGCCACTCGGTGAAGGTTCCAGGTGGCTCTAAGAGTTCATGGCACCTGAGGAGACCTGGTGCTGCCTCTCCCTCAACTACTTTTAAGGTTCATGTCCTAACTGGTCCTTTCCTGCTCACTGCTGGTGCTGGTGGTGTAAACAGTCCTATGTTCTCTGCCAAAGCAGCAGACCTGGCAACAGGGCCAAAGCCATAGAGCTCAGTGAGACATGTGGTGCTTGGCACACAGTATGACTTCATTGAGTCAAAGTATGACAAGATGCTCTCTAAAGTCTCCAATTCTTCAGAATTTTTTTTAAGGTTTTAGTCACAGGGCATGTGTACTTGACAGGGAGACAGAGGGAGACAGTGAAAGGGAAAGTGAGAAACCACCCCCCAGGGGGGATGGCCATGCCACCATCTCCTCTCCATTCTCCTCCCAGGATTCTGGGAACCCATGCATGTCGCCCAGCATGAGTTTCAAATTACCAGGTCCAGGACTCAAACCACAGTTGGCTATGTCGGAGTCTAGTGTCCCAACCACCACACCACCCGCTGGCCCCCCCTCAGACTTTAAGAAGTTAAAAATCACTATAATTAACTTTTAACCCTGATGGTCAGCTTCAGTAGTAATAATATCCATACGTAAGAGTAGGGACGACGAAATTCATCTCCAAAGCCAGGATGGTGGGACATGCTTTGGGAAACCACAAGGAACAGCAGCAGTCACTTATATAGACAGATAAAACCCACAAAAATCAAAACTAAACATATTAAAACAAGTCATATCCTCTCTGGTGTTATGTGGTCTGCTTTCTGGAATGAAGATATTTTAAAAAGGAGACAAACCAAACTATTTCACCTACTCAGAGCAAATTAAATTATTACAATTAGATTACTCCCCCTTGCCTGCCAACTACCCACCGCAACTGAAAACTTACTTTTTGGGTGCCAGCAGCCTGGATATCCTGCCATGTTGCTACAGGTTCTGTAGCTACATGCCACTCTGGGTAAGTTTTCGTGAGTAGCTTCACAAAGGTGGACTTTCCCACGGCTGCAATGCAAACAGCATGTGTTGGGATGCTTCCCAGGTTAGGGCTGAAGAAGGCGGCTGCTACTCAACTCCACTGCAAATGTCCAACTCAAGGGAACAAGCACCAACGTTTCCTATGTCAGAACTCAGCAGCTGTACTGTTGTTGGAATGATAATGGGTCAGGCCACACTAACCAAAGTCACCAAAAGGGACACAAGCAAAAGAGAAGAAAAATTCCCTTAAGATTTGATTTGCAATTTTAATGTCCCAACCTCTTGTATTTAATAACAGTTGAAAATATCATTTAACCATTTTCTATGGCAGTGGGAAAATTACAAGTTTTGGGACCAGCAGATGGTGTAAAGGTTACATCACTGGACTCCCACATAGTCAACTACGGTTGAAGTCCTGGACCCAGTGGCTTGAAACTCACGCCAGGTGCACGTGCATGTGTGCCCAGAATCCCAAGAGGAAACTGGAGGAAAAGGGACTGCGGCTTGGCGATCTCCCCGGGAGGCAATTTCTCGCTTTCTGTCTTTGTTTTTCCAGCCAGTGCATACGCCCGATAGCAAAAACCTCTTCTAAAAATTACAAGTTTTTCAAGACAGAAAATGAGAACAACTATGATCCTCATTCATTCAATAAATCTAACTAATGTTCATAGAGTGCTAATCGGGCACTCGGGACTGTCATGTACTGGGTGTACAATGATAAATGATACAGGTTAAGTTTTGTGCTCACAGACCTTTTGTGGGTAATAGATACTAAACAAACAAGTAACTACTAACAAACTGTATTAAGTGCTAGGAAAGAAAAACGGGATTAGTATAGCTCAGCAGGTGGGAAGGTCTCCTCTGAAAAAAATGACATCCAAAGTAAGACCTAAAAGATGAGTTAATCAGGCCAAGGGTGGATGAAAATAATTCATGTAAAGGGAGTAGCATGAATAAAGGCCTGGGAGAGAGAAAGAACCTTGCATGCAATTTCTCAGAAGAGAAGTCAGAGGTCCCAGACGAAGCCAGTTCAGCAACCACATGGGCAAGTGAGAGAAGAGTGGCTCAAGATGGGTGTGGCCAGGGAGTCGCACAGGTGGGGCCAGGTCACACAGCATCTTGTGGCCATAGTAAGAAATCTGAATTCTTGGGACCAGCAGTTGGCATAATGACTATGTTGCTGGAATCCCATGCAGTCGACTGAGGATCGGGTCCTGGGCCCGGAGACTTAAACTCAGCCAGGTGTGTGTGCATGCGTGCCCAAGATCCCGAGCGGCAAATGGAGGAGAAGGGATTGCGTGTGGCCACACCCCCTGGAGGGTGATATCTCGCTTTCTGTCTCTCTGTGTTTCTGACGAGCGCATGCGCCCTATAGCAAAAACCTCTCAAAAAAAAAATCTGAATTCACTTCTAAAGGCAGTGGGAAGTCAGTGACAACAGATTTTAAGTAGGGAAATTATTAAGATTCCTTCTCATTTTTAAAATATCACTCAACCAACTGTGTAAGTATAGACTGAAGTGGAAGGCGGCAGACTAGTTAGAAGATAATAATTGCTTGGATTAGGGTGATAGGGGGGAACAGTGGTAATTTCATCAATATTGTGGGAAATACCTTATACATGAAGTCAACCTAGTAGTACAACATTCGAGCTATCTTTTCCCATTTATGTCTGGTCCACACCTCTCCTGAGCTCCAGCCACCTATTTAAGCCATTTCTACAGGGACATCCCATGGACACCACAAAGACAATATAGACCCTGAAAGAACGCAGCATCTTCCCACCACACTGAGCTTCCTCCTGCATCCCCAGATCTCGGGATATGGCAGCATCTTCCACTCACTGTCAGAACTTCCTCCTTTGTCAAACCTCAACCAGCCACTAAGTTCTTCCGCACCTGTTTCTACATTTTCTCCTTGTGTCCTTTTCTCTCCATTCCTACCTATATTCAAGACCAGGTTCTCATTATCTCTTGTCTCTCCTGCTCCAGCCTGGTTCTCTTCAACCTGTCCTCCACACTGCAGTCACACTAAGTATGAAACAGCACTGCTTAAGTCCTTTGCCAGCTCCCTACTGCCTTCATGACAAAACCTAAACCCTTTAGCATGGTCTGGGGATACAAGAAATCTGGCCCCTGCACACCCCTCTCCGGTCTCAGCTTTCCTCCAGGCACACTGTCCTCGTGCTGGATCAAACTCCCTGCAACTTCAGACATGCCAGGTTCTTTGCTGAAAATGTGACTGTGTATGTGCTTTCCCATTTCCTGGAACATCTTTTCTCCTAACTGGGCCAACTCCTACTCAGTCATCAAGGTTTAGTTCAAATGGACCTCCTGTGTGAACTTCCAAACTCTGATGTCTCTAAACTGGACTAGCTAATCCTCTTTTGTACTTGGTCTGGTAATCTGGCTGAGACTCCATGACTGCAATTGAAATTATGTTTCTCCAAGCAGATGATGAGGCTCCTCAAGGGGAGAAAACAAAGCCCAGCCTAATGATCTAGCTAAATGAATAAAACACACAACAAAGTTTTTTTTTCCCCTGAAACCTACATTTATAAAAAATAAAAATGAAGCTTAAGAGTGTATTTGGGGGCTAACCAGATACTGCAGTGGTTAAGTGTTGTGTATAGAAAGCTGGATCCCAGGTGGCCAATTGTGGTTCGAATCCCAACCTGGCAGCTTGAAAAACACCGCAGGCATATGTGCACCTGTGCCCCAAAGCCTGACAGGGTGGAGAAATGGAGGAAAAAGGATTGCAGCATGACCACACACCCACTGTGAGTATATTCTCTCTCTGGCAAGTATGCCCACATTCTGGCCTTTATGGGGGGGAAAAAAGTGTATCTGGAACCCAATCTCCTCTCCACCAGAAGTGGTCTTTCTGGGCCACCCAGTGGCACGGTGGTTAAAGTGGCTGGATCCTACAGGGTCAAGTGTGGAGTTTGAGTACCAGACCCAGTGGCTTGAAAAACACAAGGGGCACGTGTATGTGTGTGCCCAAAAATCCAAGACAAGAACGGAGGAATCAAAATCAAAACCAAGAGAAAGAAGGGGGAACCCTTCCAGTCAATTCTAACAGTCACTCACAGTCATCACTGTAATGTCTCAGCACAAGAGCCCACTCACCAATAGGTGACATTTATTACACACCACCCAACTCCTCTCTGAATACACAGGATGAGAACAACATGAATCTGTGCATTTCTGTACAGTCATGCTCATCTCAGTCCCCACCTCCACCCTTCTCACATTTACTCAGCCTCTGCTCTTCCCACACGTCACTGAATAAACACTCTTCCAGACCTGTGTCTAAATCCTTTCCCCTGCCTAACAGAAGGTCCCACTTCTTCCATGCAGTTCAAGACTTCTCTAGCTCATGCTGAATTCCTGCCACACTGGTCAGTTACCAATTGGTTGAGTTTGCCTATATCAGATACCTGCCTGCCATGAGAAGACCCTAGCTTAAAATATCTGGCTCAGATGATCTATATTTAGATTTCTGGTTGTTCAGTAAGCCAAAAACATGGTCCCTGCCTATAGGCTAAAAGCTATTTTGATTAATAGGAAAAGATGAAGGTACTTGATTGGTTGGGATGGTTGGGATTGAAAGACTGTTACAAGTACTTACAGCTTTCAAAAGTTAAAAACAATTCCCTAAAAACTGTTTGGATGGAAAAGAAAGGCTCCGAGAGTTAGGCAGTGCCAACTCACCTCTGAGATCAGACACCATTAGTTCATCTAAAGGCACTCAGGACTCTGAGAAACCAACTCATGCCAACCGGAATGCCAACAAATTAGATATAATAGGAAATTATGGTTCCAATTTCTGTAACAATAATATCTTGCCTGAGTTTTCTTTTCTTTATTCTTTTTAATCTTTTTATCTTTTTAATTTTTGAAATGACAAATGTTTTTAAATGTTTCCAGAGTGGCACTATTTGGTTCTCCACTGCTAGTCTTCCTCCTTGTGACCAGAATACTCGTCTACAGAAAGCCTCACTTCTTCAAGCAATACTGGGCTCTTAGGATTCCATGATGTCTGATTTATCAGTGTATGTAGACCTCAGCTTAACTGTTCCTTTCAATATACTCTTAATACCATGAAATCTGGGAGGCATCGGATCTCACAGGCAATACCAAACCTCCCCTTAGGGCCTCGGCTTTTGGTGTACTTTATTCTATTTTTGTGCCATGACTTCAGAAAAGGTGGGAGGTACTTTCTTAGTGTATATTACTTCAATATTCTGGCTTTTATTAGCTCCAGAACTGTCACTCCACAAACTTTTAAAACTTATGTTGCTAATGTTCATCTTTTCCCAAGTCACGTTTTTCTCTGCTCACAATGTTTTCTACAGTGACTGCCATAGCTACATTATGCGAATCTCTAGCAGTAAGATAGCACCAGATACTCAAAATAATATATTCTGTTATTTAAAATTTAATACAGTTGTGTTTCATGGGAGCTTTTTAAACATGCTATCACCTCTAAGCATTTTCTTCCCCTGAACAAGGTGAAAAACATGAGGAAAAAAATTCCAATCCTGAAGTCCTTTATCAAACTCAAATTGTTGGTGTTTGGATAATGGCTTGCTTTCCAAAAGTTCATGTTTTGGGATTTAGAATTAGTGGGTGACGACTGGATCCCCTAGAAGTTCGTATGTTAGGAAGAAGCTGCCTGTAAAGGTGTTAAGTGAACACTTAGCTCCTTGCTGGTGTCCCAGGGTGGGGCCTTTGGGTGTGGTAAGATCATTATGTCAGGGTCCCTATCATAGAGGTCTGGTCTGTCTATAAGGAGAGGAAATGAGACAAGCAAAGACATGGACACAGACCAGGACAGGAGACACGGACACGACAGCTGCTCTGCTTAAGATCCTCCCTCTGCCATGTTGCGGCCACACAGAATCTGGACCTTGGACCCTGAAATTCTAAGCTGAATAGACCTATATTTCTTTAAAAATTCATCCAGTCTCAAGTGTTTCTGTAAGCAATACAGTAACAGACTAAGACATGCAGTAGATCTAAAACTG